TATGTCATGAATCTATGTTTTCAGTATACAATCAGCATCTGATCCGTACCAGCGGATGAATGCTTATAAAAGGATGCACCTTACCTGTTCTAATGCTTGAATCACTCTGTGATGTCCCCGATTCCTCCCATTCAAGTTCCTGGTCCTTTAGTAGTCCTTTTCTCCGTCCAGGAAACCCACTGGGATCCCGCAGACTTTTACCACGTAATGAAAGATGACGTGAGCAATAACCCCTTCTCTGGGATTCTTTAGTACAACCGTCTTTTGAACACAGCCTCCTCCACTGTTTACCGTTGAATTTTTTTCGTATTCCATTGGGAGCACAAACAACATCTCCCTTCTTGTATTTTGGTTGAGGTGTTGTTGCTGGGGAAACTGTACTACTGCTTCTCTCTGATGACACAGTGCTGCTACGACTGTTCGTTTCACATTTCTTGATAGGTTGTCTGCGGTCTTTGCCACGCCCACGTTTGACCGGTGAGCCAGGTAGCAAATGAGGTGAAGGTGCTGTTGAACTCTCACTCGATTCAAAACTAAACTTTCTCATCTCATCTCCTGAGTCTTCACTCTCTATATCTTCTTTTTTCATTTCAACCTCATACTTGAGTTGACGCACTGGTTGTGTTTGAGGAGCATTCTCTGCTTCCCATGGAGCCCTGAGTAGTCGTAAATTTGATCGTGGAACCCAGACTGACTCGCCTTCCTCTCCAGACCCTACCTCATTTTTATCATTATCCAAGGCAACATGATACGAAAGTGGACGTGAACTTATCTCTGTTACAATGCCCTCACAGAACATATTCTCATCCTGACTGATCCGTGCACACACTCTTGTTCCCACGGCAACACTACCAGGTGATGGAATAGTATCACTGATGATGTCAATACTCTGTTTTTCCAATATATCAGCAAAATATGTTAAATTTCGATCACCATCAAATAAGACACCAAGGTCTTTGTTTTTCTTGTGTTGTTTAATAATTCCTGGTTGGAAGGACCCTTCTCGTTTTGCAAGAACTCTGTGAGCTTTATACGCTTTGAAATCCACTGCCAGTTTTGTTACCACACTTTCACTTATTTCACCAACTGAGAGTCTTGCTTTTGAAATTTTTCTGCCAACTGACAGAGGAGTTTTCTCAAATGCTCCTTCGTCTCTACTATTGCTACTGCTCGAGTGCTGTAAACTTTCTACATCTGAATCGCTATCTTCTGGATTGCCTTTTCTTTTTCTTGTAATAGTTTTCTGTTTCAAATTCCTTTTATTCTGCCCTGGTGATCCAACAGAGCGTTCTATTTGTGAACTGGGCTTGGGAGACATTCTCTGGGATGCCCTTCCTTTTTTATTTACTAAATTTCTCTCGTCTGACTTTTCATCACTTTCTTCACCACTGACGTCGGTGGGTTTGTTTCTCTTTGACTTAGTACGTCCACCGAGCGGTGCTGGTGAATCGTCTTTGCCACTATGGGGAGGGGATTTCTTGGTACGTCGCGATTTCTCACCTTTCCGATTCATAATTTCTATGTCCTGTACACAGATAGTTAAACAGAGTTTATGTTAGTCGTTCACGTAGTATAAGACCAGCCGGCCAAACGGAATGAATGAAACAATACTATATCGTGACTGGTAACAATCACATTCCGTGGCAATAAAAAATGTGATCGCTAAAGCAAGAAATAATACCGAATATTATATATAGAAAGCTTGTTTAAATTCAACAAAGACAATTCAGCGATCACAGTCCTCACATGAACTATACAATGTAGCTGAAGTTGTCTAGTAAACCCGATATGGAGCGAGGTGGCAATTACTCACGTCACAGACATCGTACCAAACATTGCCAGTCGACTAAATGGTCACAGCTAAAAGCTTCCTACACTAATTCAACTCAGACAAATTCAAGCGACGACGTTGAAGCATCTTGCTATGAGGTCAGAGAAATCTACGCTTCCTTTAATTCAATTTGATATGATCGGTGTCGTTTTAGCAACAAGGCCGTATTTGTCAGAGAGGGCAAACAACTGATCTTGAAATGGCCAAAGAAAAACAAATTAAACCCCCAGTTTGTCCGACAATTAAACTAAAATGCAACCATATTTTTATTTATTTATTCGATAACTGGGTAGTGTAACTATCGATGATTGTGATAGGAAAAAATCTACAAAATCTGACTGGCATGGCGTCTAAAATAATGAGGAAACTGTAAAGAAACGCTAACGGGAACGGTTCCAATTTCGTCATCGTACAATGCGAGCAAAAATTTACTGAGGAGTCAGGATATACAATGACCATCGTGATCGTCAAAAACACACCGAAAATTATACCAAGCATCAGTGTTTTACCTCAAGATCGGTCCGAGAGACCGTCTTCACCAAGATGCATCCAGAAATTTCTTCACAGCGCCTCGAACTTGGTTACTTCCCCGCACTAATCGTCAGAATTCGACAAAATCGGCGTTTTTCGCCTGCGATGCATTGAACACTAAAAAAGGTGAATGAGCAGATGCCCTTGTAAAACGAGCAATCTGATTGGATATACTTTTTGCACGTGATCAGTCAAGTTAGTATGATTGTTCCTGATTGGGTTATCGGTTTTCTGACGTGATCACGTGAAGTGTTTATCAAATTTAAAGGACACGCCCCTCATTCCAGGTTTCGACCAGATCGTAACGCTTTCAGCCCAATTTCGATTCTCAAAAAATTCTTGCACTCGTTTGAGTTGATGCAAGTGATGAAGCTATATTTCGGCTAAAATTTGAAAACAAATCTGATAAAATTGCATGCATTTTAAGACAGATTTTCGCCTTTTGTCTCCAAGTATCACACAGGATTCGGCATGTCATTGTGAACGGGAAATAAACATCATTTCAGTGATTAGCTATGCGACCAATCAGGTGCGAGTCGCTATGAACTAAAATTACCCTAGTTGCTTAGGGCCGGCGTGCTGCAATTTACTATCGAGTATGGCTGCCCATCGGCTGTATATACAGCTCGCATAGCCAAAGAAATGTTTGTATTTGCATTAATACAGCAATTTTGCCATTAACAATAATTATTGCTTAATGATGAATATTCAATTAGAAGACAATTGCTTGGAGGAAACAGTGTGGGGCCATGTTCATTCGCATTGGCGCATGGCTATTTTTGGAACAATGATGTCAGACTACTAAATAATAGGCTAAAGTTGACATTTAATTGGTAAACAAGACTGACAGGGCATTCAAATAAACAATAAACACTGGCCGAGGGTTGCCAAGTTACCCGGTTATACGCCACACCCATCATTGCTAGTTGTATGTATATACATGTAGCTTTATTATACTTTAAAACCAAATAAGAAATGTCAGTTTTTTTTGTCCAAATCAAGTATTCTTCTATTCCTATTCAATTATATTACAAATCGTCAAACGGATATGCAATTTTAAACAATATGCCCATAAGAAGTCAATGTTTTCAACGAGGTATGATTGTTTATGATTTATATTTTAATTATATTGGACAAACATTTATTTTAACACGTTGTCTGAATAAATTAACACAGCTTGTGAAATTATGTGGGTGGCGTGTCAAAGTTATGTCACACTTTCATTGTGTTCGGTCTAAAAAATAAAACGAACGAAAGAAAAAATAAATAAACATATACATTAGTGGAGCTCAAAGTCTGAAATGAACAATAACAGTTTTCAGTTTATTGCAAGTTGCAGCAGCCCAAGGCTTTCCACGTTAGACATTATTTATCACACCTTGTTATTTGGGGGGGGGGCTGAATGAACGTCAAATGGATGTAACAGCTGTTGACTCGTAGTCTCTGATTTCTTTCGGCGGGTCGCGCAGGTACCGGCGAACACCAAATCATAATGAACCCACCCTTGGAGACGAAGGTTGGAGAAATATAATCCAAGTTGGAAATGAAATAGTGCATAGACTGTACACTAATTTACATGAGACAACCAGATTTACAAATTTAAAAATTTTCCCGAAAATAATCCTGATTTTTGTAGGGCTCGCCCACTCGTTTTTATGTTCAAAGCTATCATTGTTACCATGAAGCTCCATGATAGTTGTGCAGTCGTTTGGGTTCCATGGTGACATCCCTATTTATCGTCATATAGGTGCACGTACCGCCAGCAACAAAGCGAATATGCTGACGATCACACAATTGCTACTATTTATTTATTTATTTATGTTAATTAATACCATATATGGCAGTTTATTTAAATGATGACTTGCCATATTTGGAAAATGTATAATTTATGCTGGATTTATGTTTGGCCGGGGCTACATGCAAATGAGCTTCCTTATTTGGGAGTTAATTCATGCAACATTGTTTTGGCCGTACTCTGTGTGAATGTGTTGACTTTTATACGTGTCCTTACGCGGGTAAATTACTGTGAGTTTGTGCTACGTCTACAATGTCGGTCATGGCAAGTTAAATCAGATCGATTCACAACTTCATGTTGTAATCACAGTATTCCCAATTTACACGTAAACATTTTATGCACTGTACTTGTACAAATTTGTGACAAAACACGATAAGAAAAAAAAAAGAAAAAATCAGTTCGTATTACCGAATTATATGGTTTTATGGGCGTCGACGACAAACATTATCGTACTCATAGTGAAACAATGGTAGTTGTTCCCAGCACAACATGAATGACATCATATAATAATAATGAGAATAATAAATAATAATAATAATAATAATAATAATAATAATAATAATAATAATTAGTATAATAATAATTAGTATTATTATTTCAATGAAATTAATGTACAGGCAGTTCAAGGTCGTGTGAAGGTATGTTTATTAAGTATGTCACTGTTTTGTTCTCAGCACGGCGGTTGTTCTTTATTCTTATATCACTTGATTAGTTTTGATGACGTACACATTACGTACAACAGTTGAACACGTCATGCACCGCCCTCCTCCTTCTCTTCCCATGCACAAGACAGCGGAGTTGGGGATACTATAGAGCAGGTCAAGGCAGAGATGTGCGTGTGGTGTTTAAATATTGCCACAATTGTTTGTTGCAATCATTTAATTCTGAAATCGACCATGTATTCCCATCATGCATTGCGGACTGGCTACAGTAATAGACTGCGTTTATCCACGTAAAAGATAAAAGACAGAACCAGTGTCTGCAAGCTTCTTGTGTTGGGTCTAGTATGTAATTCTCCTCTGGTTCGTCCCTTTATCGACTTTTTTTTCAAAACACTGTTGCAGTTTTCAGAATTAGACTAAATATTGTTTAATAGCATAAATAACAAAAAGATTAGTTTTATCTCTAGCAGCACTGTAAACCAGTTAAACTAATTTAATGAATCATGGATGTAAAATATTAAAAAAAATATATAACATGATAACCTTTGAACCTGAAATCAACATTTTGAATATATGTCGCAATGGTTAACTGCTTACGTTCGCCCCACCAAACCCAGGTTTATCTGAGACTCCTTATAGAATGATGCAATACAAGTTTTCGTCAACTGTCATCAACGTATCAACGAGCAAAGAGTATCTCTGAAGATTACATAACCTGAAGGAAGACTTCATTCTTCATTCTAGACAAATTTAATCAGTTCCCGCTCTCGCAATAATTATGATCCAAAATTTATAAATAAAATTTGAACAAAAACAAAAATAATGTGGATCATTTCCAATCAATCCCGAGTGCGCCCTCAGTTGCCTGAAAATTTACAAATGTCGCCACTTTTGTTCAATCATAAACTTTCACTGCGTCCCGGGTTAACAGGGATAGTTTACTAGTATATCACATAACATAAAATTGTAGAGCGTTTCTCAACCGATTTCTGGCTATGAATGGGTGAAATCATGGTATGGTTTTTGACTAAAATTGCTTTATGAACTTTTATTTTTTTCCGTTACTTCAAGTTATTCAGTACTAGCAAAATAGTCCTGTGAAGTTTGAGACGTGCATAATTAGACTATCTCACTGCTTTTTACCATATACTCTCCAGTAGAAGGAGGGGCTATGTTTTTACGATACGATTTGATAATAAAATTCGCGATTCAAGATACAACTGAATGTTCCATCAACGACAGTAAGTCGTGTATGGTACATCAGTTAGCCGCCCTAAAAGATGAAACTTTCGTCAAACTGAATCCAAATCATAGCTTCAATTGAAACATTCCGTTTCCGGTGTACATGGTAAATTATTATTTTAACTTATTAAACAACTTTTTTTGACACCAATCTGATTAAAAGATCAGTGTGCGATTATTTCGTCCCCTTTTTTTATTATTGTTGGTTTCACTTTATTTTTGCCCACGTGGGAATTAATAGTGAAACAAAAAAAGAAATGGAGTAAAATAAATACAAATAATGAAAAATAAATAAAACAAATAATAATAATATCCATTATATTGGATTTGTTACTACTATGGTATATGCTCTAACATAACAAAACATGTGTCACTATGGAAACGTAGAAATAAAATACGGTGGTAACGTAAGATTTACGGCCAAATAACAATAGCGCAATTAAGCACGAAAACACAATCACGGTTACTAGAGACAATGCACTTTGAAAGGTCTCAACCCGGGGATACCCCTATGCCATAGACTAGTCCCGTGGTTTGTTTTAATGTTTCGTGAAAAACAAATCTACATTTGTTAGACATTAAAAAGTTTCCTTGTCGATGGTTACGCCGTTCACGGTCGATAGTTTAAGCTGACAAGGCGCTCTGTACCAGTACTCTCGTTAACAATCGTAGCCGACCAGGGCTTTGACCTGCAACGGTTGCCCTAACAACAGACGACGCCATTACACAGAACATCCAGTATACACACATGGAATCCGCCTCGGAACGTTAGAACATATACACTGTGTCGTACATCGGACACCGCAACGTTCACACATTTTATTTCGTTCTCTTTTTTTTTTTTTTTTACAATAATTATACAAATGGGTGAGGACGTTCCTGGTCTATCCTTTCGTTCGATGGTAAGGGCCTCCGGCTTGGGCGAAGTATGGACGCACGGCTCCGATGACGGAAAGTTCAACCAGTACGGTTGGCGGTGTACCACCAAGGAAGACGCCTACAGACCCAACACATTGATAGGCAATTATAACGAACAGAACTTTGACATCGAAAGAGAAAAAATTTCAAAAAGGCTGCCTTCACAGGTAAAGTATGCTGGATAATTTACAGACTAGATTTGCCTATTCCGGTTTTATAAATGATATCCAACATCACAACGGGTTTCAGACATTACGCAAAGATGTTATCGCTTTTTACTATGATATGTTCTGATAAATAATCGCTATTGTTGACTTTAAACATTTTTTGGTGACTAGAGACCGTAAATTTGTTTCTTGAGATTATTTCGGAGCTAAACAAACAGCTTTTGTGCGCTAAGTGTTATTCCATCGAACTTGGCGGGGTCTTGGCAACGTGTCTGCTGTCGAGACGTTTTTGAATGTCTTGTTTTTTTAATTCGACCAGGTAGCC